ATAATAATAATAATAATAATAATAATAATAATAATAATAATAATAATGTTAGTGAAAGACCACCAAATCCAGGTTGCAAAAAGCTATTTCTATATTTCTTTGCTGACATACAGTATTTATTCGTATTTCTGCTACTTGTAATATACCTCAAATGATGAGAATTTTATCAGAATCCTTAAAAAGAAGCGGATTGTAGAACCAGAACTACGTTTTACAATCTTTATAATTGACACCACGAAAATGTTAACCAAATGGGAAATCGACTGTACATTTTGTAATGTTTCTTTCTAATGTTGCTTGGTGTAAACGCAGAATGTATGCATTTCATGTGCCAGATCAATGTTTCTCAACTTTGACAACTTTCAAGATGTATGGACTTCAATTCCCAGCATTTCCCAGCAATCAGAGCTGCTGGCTAGAAGGAAGCATGCTCCCAGGGGAACTCTGAGTGCTGAAGTGCACTTATCTTGAATGTTGTCAAAGTTGAGAAGCATTGGGCTAGGCAGAGAACCCAAAGGCATTTGCTTCGCCTGGTATCTTCTGAACTGTCAGAGTTAATCACCAGAAGAGACGCTTCTTTTAAAATGAGGGGCAGTCACTCCAAATCAGGCTGGGGAATTCTGGGAGTTGAAGTCCGCCAGGCTTAAAGTTTATTTATTTATTTATTTATTTATTTTATTTTATTTATTTGATTTGCCAATTGTTTACAAGATAATAAGTATAAGTGTATACATAGTTGTGAATACATGAAATGGGTACATATAAGAAAAATAAAAGAAGAATAAGAGAAACAATAGGACAGGGATGGTAGGCACGTTGGTGCGCTTATGCACGCCCCCTACAGACCTCTTAGGAAAGGGGTGAGGTCAATAGTAGACAGTCTAAGGTTAAAGTTTTTGGGGTTTGGGGAAGAAACTACAGAGTCGGGTAGAGTATTCCAGACATTGCCCTGGTTGGAGACCTCTGCTCCAAATAGACCTCTTGACTTTATACCCCATTATCAATTCGTGGTGACAGAATCCTCCCACGTTGTCTCCTGGCATAAAGAACCCTGCGTACAGCGAAAGGCCGTTTCTATTGGTTCATCCCATCCTCGAGGGCGGGCGCAACCCGATTTATTCAAATCAACTTTTTTCTTTTTTAGAGCCGGCTGACGTCACAAGAGACGCCCAACGTCTGGCGGGAAAAGCTTCCGCCCGGTCAACGGAAGCGAGTATGCAAGTTTTATTTTCCTCTTACAGGAGGGGAAGACATTTTTTAGGCCTCGGTCGCCATTTCCGCACAGCAAACGCTCCCCTAAATGTTCCGCGTGCCCATTTATTTCTACGAAGGCTCGGACCGTCTCTTTTCGTAGGAGTGACACTCCCCGCCGGTAGCGCCTCTCGGGTAGCACTTCCGGGTGGAAGAGCGTGACCTCTGCCCTCGTGACGTTGTTCTCTCTTTTCCGGTGCTGGCTGCCGCCTGCAGAGACGTTCGAGTAAGTGGATGGTGGGGCCTTTTTTTTCCCTATCCACCTCCATCCTCGCGGATCCGGCCCTCTCCGCTCCCCTCGGTGCTGTCAGCCGGCTCCTCACCCCTAACTGCGCGCGGAAGACAAGGGAGGGCGAGGTTCGGGGCCCTTTGTTTCTGCACAGGGATCCGTTGTTTTAAGGAGGCCCGGGCGGTGGGGTGGTTGGACAGGCCTCTCTTGAAACCCCGTATCACCCGGATAGTTTTTTTTTTGGTTTTTTTTTTAGGTTTGGGCCTTATCAACAGGCTTTCCCCCAACTTCGCGAATGTTCCCTGTAAGCTGGGTATCTTTTCCCTCGGAGACAAATCTTTCAGATGAAACGTACATGTACTTGCATCATCCATAAAGAGCTTGAGGCTGACACCTGTGGCCAAAACCATCTAGTTAAACATGTTTGTGTGGCTGCCTTTTTAAGTGCTTCCTCCTTTTTGAAGGTAGAGGAGTTTTGAGCAGGGAAGATCGTTGCATTGACTAAACTCCAGGGATTTTTTTTTTTTTTAGTATCTGGGTGTAATATTTCTAAGCCTGTATGTAACACGTGGGTTTAATACTGGAATTGTTTCTGCTGTGCAAAAATTCAAGATTCAAGTCTTGTCTGATAGGATATTTCATTGAAGTTCACCCTGATTTGTTTAAAACTGCCATGTACCTTGCTACAGTTGCAATGCCTTTGCAGCAAATGTGGCAATATAAGTCTTTCTGAAAGCCATGAGATTTAAGTAATCTTAACTATAGCAGTATACCCTACTTATTGTAAAGGTAATGGTCCAAGTCACATCTTATTTTTGATCTTGTTTGGTATGGTAAGTTCTCATCCAAATCCATGATTATCAGAAAATTGAAATTGCTAGATTTTCCATGAGACTGCGACCTGGGTATCCATACACCCTTGCGTATCCATACGTTTTTGCATATATAATTCCCTGTTCTTTAATTATTCAGTGGGTAATTAGATGGAGCAACCATTAGTGTTGTAAGTTCTCCCTAATTACAATGCAGTCATTTTGTTTAAAACTTCAGTATTTTTTTTTCACTAACACTATTTGACTATTGTCTTCATGTGCAAATGTAGCCTCCAAAATTAGTAAACTTTTAATTTTCAGCTGCATAATTAATACAAAGAAGCATAATTTATAAGTAAAATGCTAAATATTGAAGCGATGGTCTAGAAATGCCCAGATCATTGTTCTAATTTTGTAGGTATATACTTACATAATATAAAGAGGGAAATGGGAAACAATTAAATATTCATACTCTATGTTGAAGAAGCTATAATTCACTGATGTGATAATCTGAAAGTCCCCATTTCTTGCTTCCTTTTTAAAGCCACCAAGTTGCTTGAAGTGCGATGCAAAGAGCCAACTCTATATATTTCTGAAATGGATGTCTCTTTACTGCAGGGACAAATAATTTGTGGACTGCTTATGTTGAGGATAACATTTTGGGGCCTATTTTGGATAATTTGCATGGATTTAAGGGGAAAGTGAGGCCCTTAAGCACAAACTTAACTATGTATTTAAACTTCATATCAGTTGTGGACCATTTTCCAAAACGGTTTGGTGATGTTGCCCAGCCCATGCTGATACCACAATACTAATGCCTCATGCAGTTCTCAAGACAGGAAGCATATTCCCAGTTTAGGAAAGGGTTTTTGCTACTTTACTGGAGATCAGAGTGGGAAATAATCCCCACCATAGCTAAGCATAAGTATCTGATTAGAAGTTGTGAATCAGCTTTATTATATATGGTGGGGCGGCTCTTTCCTCAACTTGGTATTTTGATATTTATAATTTGTCTACTTCAACAGAAAGTACTTTATAATATTCTGTCTATTCCATAATGCGTTGTTGTTTTGTACAGAAATGGCTCCTTCTCGTAAGGGTAAGGAAAAGAAGGAAGAGCAGGTTATAAGTTTGGGACCACAGGTTGCTGAAGGAGAAAATGTGTTTGGAGTTTGCCACATCTTTGCTTCCTTCAATGATACATTTGTCCATGTAACTGACCTGTCTGGCAAGTGAGTATCTCTACTTGTGAAAGGATAATATTATTTACAAGATTGTAATAGGAGATCTTGGCAATAAGATGTCAGGACTTACTTATGTCAAAAGGCCTATAATATTCCCCTCGCCTGATCTTAAAAGAAACTCTGTCTACTTGGATGTATACATACTTAGCATTGTAACTTTCATAGAGCAGAGTATGATGTTTTATTACCATAGCTGAACCCTAGGTGAAGAAACTACTCTTGGAAGCGCTTTGTATAGAAACTCTTGTTTCTGCTAAGAGGTGTAGTAGTATTGCAATCAAGCAGAAACTCTAATCCTAACTCTGAGAATTGTTTTCTTCATGCTGTATTTTAAAGACAAATTAGCAAAGGAGTTACGTTTAACTATATAGCTTTTTATCTCAGGTAAAGGAAAGTCTGGGATTAAGTTCATCTATAATGCACTTCTTATTTTCTCAGGGAAACTATCTGCCGAGTAACTGGTGGCATGAAAGTGAAGGCCGACAGAGATGAGTCTTCTCCTTATGCTGCTATGCTGGCTGCTCAAGACGTAGCACAAAGATGCAAGGAACTGGGAATCACTGCCCTTCATATCAAACTGCGGGCTACAGGTGGAAATAGGTAAGGGGGGAGCAAGTGCTTCATTTATCTCTCTCTTGTGCATATATTTTCATATGTACTACTTTTCAATACTTTAGAATACTTTAATTTAAATAATAAAGGCATTTAACACCTCTCTAGTATTATTTTGTATTACCGAGAGACTTTAAAATGGAAAGTATTATTCTGTGGAATCATATTTGGAGATACAGCTGCAGTTGTTGGTAGAATGTCCTGTTAATCTGAATGCAAATATCTGTCTGTAATATAGTAGATATTCATGGATATTTCACTGGTTTGGTGTTGTGTTATTGTTTATACTCTAGCCTTGGTTTTTTTTAATGGAGTTTTACTAGTTTTACTGCAGTGGAATAGAGTTTTCTGTAGCTTTACTATTTTGGCTGGAGCCATGCCATTCTTGGCTCCTTTGGGCAGCCAGGCATCATGTGAGCAGCTGGTTCAATGTTTCTGTGAGGGAAATGGCATAGTTATGTACTTTGAAACAGGTGGAATTGCTTCCTGTCCTAAAGAAGGCTTCCATAGCTCAAACCACCCTTTATTACTTGTCTTCGACTGTATCTTTTTAGGAAAAGTTCAGAAGGTGGTAGGAAGATCCTAGAGGAAATGGATTATCTGGATCCTTTTCAGTCAGGATTCAACCTTGCCTATGAGACAGGAATGGTGTTGGTTGTTCTATGGATTGCATTCGTTGGAATCTTGGGTAAAGGGACTGGTCCTATTAGATCTCTCAGACAGATTTGAAACTATTGACCACGGAACCTTTCTGGAAATTCAAGGATTAGGACACTAATTTTGCTTCTACCGGAATGAGTAATTAGAGTTGATGCTTGTGGGTGACAAGTGCTCAAGCCCTTGGGAATTTGGCATTTTATCCCATGTTTATGTGGAACCATTAGCAGAGATCATCCACAAATTTATGATGAGGCATCATTGGATATACATGGCTACCTTGGTCAGGCTAGAAATACTATTGGAAGTCCTGAGCTAATATCAATATCTAGTATGCGGATGTCAATAAATATCTGGACATTCCAATAACAATTATCTAAGTGGTTAATGTAAGTGAAACCACACTTCCCCGAAGAAGGCGTGGCTTGTCTACTTTAATTCTTACTTTGACTCAAGCAACAGATAGAAAATGTGGCCAATGGGATGGATTTTCTCAGCTTGAGCTCTGCTCAGTTCAGCCAGTTACAGCCTTACTTGCAATAGGGTGCCCTAACATTTGTGCTTTGATCAACATAAGGCTGAATTACTGCAGTTTACTGTTTGTGGGGGCTGCTTTTGAAGACAATCTAGGAGATGCAGCTGCTACAAAATTGACTAGACTATTGTAGGACACCAGTGCCAGTGTAGAATAATACTTCAAGGTTGTTGAACTGGTAGTGAGTAGGCTTCTGGGCCCAATTCAAAGTCATCCACACTTACACAGTGTAGCATTGAGCAAAAGTAGTATCTTGAAAAAAAAATGACTAGGCCCAGTCCATATCAGTTCACTCATCAAAAGAAGGTCTGTTAAATATCCCCACTCTTTGTGATGCACACAGAAAGGAGGATAGGCCTTCTCTGTAGCGCTCACTTTATAGCATTTTCTTCTATCAAGAAATATGGCCAGCCTTAATGTCTTCACTTTTCAGAAGCCAATGAAAACAGTCTGTTCCTTTGGCCCCAGCTAATTGTGAGCACTTCTCTGATAGGAATATAATTGCATTAGTTTTTTTTTTCTCTTATGTACAGGTAGACCTTGTTTAGCGACTGCCTCATTTAGCAACCATTTGCAGTTACAGTGGTAATGAAAAAGTAACTTTATAACCTTTCCTCCCATTTACAACTGTCACTGGTTTGTTAACAAAGGGAAGCTGAAACACGATGATAATAAATAGTTTCCCTTGGCAACATCTTGAAATGTTTTCAAAATGCTGGTCCTAGTTGTGATCACTAAATGAGGACTGCCTGTAACTTCTCTTGCCATGTCACCCAGTTGAGATTGGAGTGGGTTAGATAGATGTTCTAATAATTAGAACTGGTTTAGCAGAAACAAGCAAAAAGGGACAGGCATACTAAACTGAATACAATGTACAGAAGGTACTTGCATTGAAAGACATTCCAGATAGGTGTTCAGAAGAACTTTTCAGTGTTTTCCTGTCTTTTGATTTTATCTTAGCTTTACAATTTATAGCAGTTCTTTTGGCAAAAAAGAGCCAAGCTATATCAGACCAACCATCTATCTAGTGTGACACTCTGTTACTAAGAGAAATTAACTAGAAAGCTTGAAGTCATGTTGTTTATTTGTATCATTGTTATAAATCGACAAGAAAAAAATAATTGCTGCACTGATGCTGACTCGATACGACTCCATGTCTCCAAATGAAAAGAACCCTAAAGACAAGTTTCAGTTTTTATTAATGTATTTTTTGCTTTCTTTTCAGAACAAAAACTCCTGGACCTGGAGCTCAGTCAGCTCTCCGGGCTCTGGCTCGGTCTGGCATGAAGATTGGGCGCATTGGTAGGTTTTCCGTTGAAGGATATTTTCAACAATGTCCCTCCTGCAATCATTTCTAGTTGCTTCTTTATCCCATTACTTTATCTCAATATTTTGCATTAGATAGTTTGAAAAAGTTCTTGCTAGATAAAATTATTTGATCTATACTGAAACGAGACATTAGAAAAAGTGGATCCAGATAATTCAGGCCTTCAGATAGAGAATTTAGTTACAACATGAAAATGCTTGCAGCTGGATCTTTCAGAGAACAGCATGACAAATTGTCCCAGCATAGTACAGCCACAGTATCCAGGCCAAAATGTGGCACTTTGGGAGGTGGCGGGGTGGTGGTGGTGAGGAGAGGAGAGGTGATGGGAAAAAGCTAAAAATATGTTGGGATGGCGGAAAGAAAAATATGTTGGAAGATTGGCGGTGGGGCTTAGACAGAGGATATGCTGAGCTTGAAGCAAGAACTCTGATGGCAGCAAAGGGGAGAGACCCATAAGAAGACTGGAAAGATCAGGGGATTACTGGAACTGCTGGTTGGACATGTTCTAGAAACAAGGACTTAAGTGGATCACATGCTGGGAAGAGTAGTTTGGAACTCAAGCCATGCAGAACAGGCAGAAAGAATCACTCTAAATTTCGTTTCAGCCCAAACCTGGAACAATCAAAATATTCCAAGCTTCAGTTCTCTCCATCTGCAACTCACTCAGAAGTTTTGAAACAAAAACTTCACATTGGAAATGAAATAAATGCTTTCTTTTGTGCATAGACTTAGCGTTTTCTAGTAGCTATTTCTTAAAGCCTGTGCAGACTTGCTTTTTCTTGGACTTTCACATCCTGAATTTTCAGAAACTTAAATTGGGAAGTACAATCTGTCTCATGAAACTTTGTCATCTTAATGTTGCGTTCTGAATGCTGCCTTTTTCTCTTTTAAAGTGTTATTTTCCATGTTACTCCTCCGATTTTTTGAGGACTTGTATATACAGAGTGAAAATAATAACCAAAAGTAACATTTTTCTCTCCACAGAGGATGTTACCCCCATTCCTTCAGACAGCACTCGCAGAAAGGGTGGTCGCCGTGGTCGTCGTCTGTAAAATAGGGGCTGTTGTATATCATCATTAAAGCTTTCCAATAAATCTCTGTTCTCATTTGTTTTTCTCTTCTATAAATTCAGTCATCACTGCTGTTCTGTGAAGTGTATCTTTGACTTGCCTTTTAAGTCTTCTCAATAATTATTGACATGAAAAACATCCTCCCTGTCTGGAGTGGATTTTATTTTATTTTTTTTGCTTCCTAATAGATCCTACAGGCTCTTTAGTGTATTCCTTTTCACTTAAAAGTTGTTTTGCTATGAAACTGCTTAGTGCAAAATAAAACCCTAAAGCAATAAAACTATTGCAAATGAAGACTCTTATCAGTTAAGTAGAGTTTGGAGGTAATGCATAATGTTGGTAGTTAAAAGTAGAAAATGGCTGCATTCTTCGTATAGATTGAGCTCTCTGTCTTCTTGGATGCCTGCTTCCCCAGATGAGGAGCTCAGCCTCCAATCTGAAAGGCTGCTGTGCAAAATTGACCTGTGTGCATTGAATTTCTAAAGTTCTCTCAAAAAAGTCCTTTTGGAAAGTAGCCGTTTGCCTCAAATCTTTTGATCCTCATCCCTGACAAAGTTTTAGTTTATTATTTTTAAAAAAATGGTTGGAAAATGTCATACATGTGATTGGGCAACAATATTCAAGGACCCCCAAGAAATATTGTTGACTACACAGTGGAAATTACTGACATGTAAAGCATGTATGCAGTGGAATAACAAGCCTGACATAAGCATGCATGGTGTTACATAAATGGTCTTAAAATTGGGAAAACCAGCCATAGAATTTCTATGCAAGAAACATACCCATCTTGGTGGTCTGTATGATGACCCAATTCAATAATAGATAACCACAGCTCGCTTGTTAATGCCACATCCCTTAATTTCGGCTATTATATACAGTGTTTCACCATTTAAAAAAAGTCTGTCTTTGAGAAACTGAAGACTTCTTTCTTTTTTTAACTGACCATCAGGCCTGGTGCTCTTGAATCATCTTTACAGCAGGATTATTTAATAGATACTAAACTTTTGCTTGACACTTAATAGATGTAAATTCCGAGATAATTCAAGTTTGTAGTGTTGGGATATAAATTATAGGCTAGTTAGTACAATTGAGAGAGAACCAGAATGGAAAATGAACTAAACTTATTTTCAACATCTAGTCCATTGCTGATGTTGGTATGCAAATCTTTCCCAACTTTAACTCTTGAAGATAATAGCTCCAGTCTACATCTGGAATCGTGTTTTGAAAATGGGACCATTTTGAAGCCTTAACCTTTTTTTTTTTTTGATGGACACTTGTAACTAAAAAAAAGTAATATAAATTGCTGCATTTCATAGGAAATCTTTTAAATTTAAACAATAACTGCCAAAAATATAAAGCAGAAAAGGTGCTGAATCTAATTGAAAATCTGATTAACTGCTTAAACCCAATATTTACTTTACAATAGAGGTTGAAGTATTTTTTTTAACGGGATGCAACCTTAAATGCAAATTCATACCTTTCAGTCACTATCTACTTCTTTCCCGGCAGTGAGATATATGACAAAGGAAACCATTTGTCTCAGCTGCACTGTTTTTGGTATCTTTGCCTTTTGGAGAAATTATATGTAAACTATTTTGCTTCTGGGAGAAGGCAAGCTACCTAGAAAATGGCTAGTACCTGTGCAGTTATCCTGCCTTTTAAGCCTTCTCCCCAGCCACCACAGAAACCTTAATTATAAAAGCTATTCAGGAGGCAGCTGGTGATTGTGTGTGGAAATAAAGCATATAGAGATGCTGTCCTCCAGTAATAGGACTCACAAGGAGTAATAGTTGGAGCAGGAGGAGGAGGAGTACCAGTGGGGGAAGAGTTGGGTAGTGAGCAGTGAACCTGTAAATACTTGTGTGTTGCCAAGGGAGCTGTGTTGTGTTGGCTCTCTTGTGTTTTGGAGCCCACTGACATTATACTTAAAAAGACAGCTTTTCCTTCTGAAAATAGTTTAGAGAAGCAATCTCATGACTTCTTCGTAGTTTCATTCTGTGAAAATGGCATCTTGGGGGGGAAAATTCCTCTTGTGTGGTTGCTTGTTAATGTAGAAGTGACTCATTTGAAAATGAATCCATGAAATTGCTAGTAAAAATCAAAATATAAGGACAAGGTGACTAGGTAGGTGCTAAGAAACCAGCCATTTCACAATGTAGTGTTACTATGCTGACACTCATTCACAACAAAATGCTGTAATTACGTAAAGCTTTTGAGAATATAGCACATTGCAAAGTATGCTGCCAAGGTTTTGTTCTGAAATGTTCTGTGGTTCCTCTATAAATGAATTCTCCTTTTAACATCTCCAAAAGCAGAGGATCTGTTTCCTAACTGAAACAAACAAGCACAATGTCTACTGAGAGGCTGAATTTCACCTCAATAGGGCATTTGTATTGGCTATTACTACTATTGCTAATAAAAGTCTATTTTAATATTAACCCAATCAGTAGAATGTAGTGAAAAAAAGCCTGCAATTCTTATCTCTTGGAGGTAGCAAGACATACCATATGGTCCATACTCTTCAATACATTTCTCTTTAATAAGGTGTTTAATATTCTCTTTAATAAAATATTTTCCCTTAATATAATCACTAGGTGGCAGTACTATGTAACCATGGCTATCTAAAAAAAGCTGGGTTGGACCTAGTTGGTATTTGGATAAGAGGCCATCAATGAATCCCAGCCCTGTACAATAGACTGGAAAGAAGACGATAAAACCACTTTTCTGTTGTTAATGAGAAAACTACATGCATATCAAATCAAATCTTTTTATTAACAATATTTTAAGAAGCTAAAAATATTAAATCAGTAGGAGCCAAGGTGGTCCAAACCAGCAGCTCCTGAAAAGAGCTCCCAATAATCTCACCCCTCTGTCTCAATCCTTTGACCTAAAAATGCCACCCAGAGGCAAGAAGAGAACCAGAAACAGCCTCAATAATGATACTGGGACCCATAAATCTAAATTATTTCCTTGGAGCATCAGCAAGTATATTTGGAGACATGCCTTTTTAAGGTCTGAATGGAAGACACCCACATTTGTGAAGTTTATGAACTGTGAAAAGTTACTCTTAAAGTTGACTGTAAAAAAATATGATTTCTGTAATAGAGTTGTCAAAGTTGTCAGCTACACATTTTCACAGTTTCAGTCACAAATTGACTTCCATGGACATTACTTCATACTTAAGTGGTCATTAGAGGGCGCATGCATAAGTGCACTAATGTGCCTATCATCCCTGTCATCGTATTTTTATTCTCTTATTGTTTTTGTTTTTGTTTGAAAAATTCCAATAAATAAACAAACAAATAAATAAGACCCATTTTGCTCAGAAGGAGTCCATGAGTTACCCCCAGGTCTTCTTCAAGGCTGTTGAGCATTGGTGGAAAATCTGGCCACAAAGGACTGAGTAGCTTGCTGTGATGTTGTAAACCACAGGAGCATGTACCCGTCTCCTTGCCCTGTCTTTCCCAGTGATCAGCTGATTTTTCTGATACTTTTAGTAGGCGGATATTCCTGGACTGGTCTCATCTCTCAACTGAATGTGCTGATCAGATAGCCATTGGGAAAGTATTCCCTATCAATATTAAAGAAAGCATATAAATTAAACTATGCCTACTGGCTGGTTGGGAAAATATAGTCAAAAGTCTATATTTATTTAAATCATGATTTGAATATTTAAACTCTGCTCCTGAGGATTAGGACTCCTCTCAAGTAGATCTTAGATTAAAAAGGACTTCAAAGGAAAGAAAATGAGTGGAAAGCACAATTGACCAGCAAAGTCTACTCATGATGCTGGATTTTATCTTGTATGTGTGGATACTACAGATTAGGAAACTGTCCAGATTGTCAGATCAACTCTTTGTATTTTAATCTACTACAAATTCTAGCCTAAATTTAAATTTCTGCCTAACATTCTGCCACTGGATAAAACGTTTATTTTAAAATGAATGAAATAACGGCCATAACCGCTATTTGTTTTAGCACTGCTAAAGTCCCTATAAGAACTGTTGGGTACATAATTCCAATGTTTCTTACTCTCAAATTGAGAAATACTGCATTATCCTTATCCAAAAAACAGCTAGCTCCTCCATTCTGCATTGTGGAAATATCACCTCACATCCTACTTCCCATCTCTATTCCTCTGCCATTACGTACAAAAAAAGGGTTATAGCTGGAATAACCAAAAACGACTCCTTTTTTTGATGTCTTTGCTAATGGCTTAATGTATTGATTCAGTGGCTCTGAAAAATTCTTTGGATTGGACCTTTTGATAGATAATGTTAATGTTTTTTTTCCTGCTTTTGCCTGCCCTTTAATTGTTTTTATCAGTTAATGTTTTGATATTACCTGATACTTAATAAATTAAAAAAAGATACAGGTAC